ATTTGCTCACACTGTTCCCTCTAGCCAGAAGGGCCTCTCCATATCCCTGTCTTTTGAAATCCTGAACCTCCATTGAGGCCCAGTTCAAAAGTCAATACCTCCTCCCAGCTTCCCCAAGCTACATGCGATCTATGCTCCCTCTGCTTTTAGCCTTGGTTTGTCCTGCCTTTGTGCCTCTCGCTACAACACACTCTGTCAGATGGCACGCTCCACAAGGCCAGGACTTATTTTGCTTCTGTGTCTCCTGTCTATTGAACACACTGTCCCACATAGAGTAGACTCAGTAAGTGTTCACATAATGGAAGAAAGGTATTTTCTAGACATAGCCAAGTGGAGAGTTAGCTTTTTTTTTTTTTAATGTGACTGTGACTTAGACCTCATGAAATTTTTCTGAGATGTAATAGCCCTGGTCTGAGAGTCGCTCACAATGCAACTCTAGACAAGGCCTTGTGTGTCTCTGGGCCTGGTTTTCATCATCTATGAGGAAGTTTTCTAGCTCTTAGTCAACCAAAATTTCAGCAGGAGAAGAGACAGTGGATTTAGAGAAAATCCATATCATGGATTTGGAAAACAAATCAAAACCATGATAATAGAAGGAGTGTTGAAGGAATTGGGAATGTTCGGCCTGGTAGCGAAGACCTAGGAAAGACTCAGACTCATTAAATGCTAGAGCTGGAAAGAAACTTGGAGAATATCGAAGGAATTTTCTTTAATAGGAAGTGGGATGAAATGACCTCTGAGACTCCAATGTTCTGCAAAGCTGTTCTCCTATTTGCACTTCTGATTGATAGAAAAGGAAATTTTTGTTAATCATCTTTAACATTCTCAACTGAGAATGACATAGTTCAGAATTTCATATCCAGATATTATGCTGCTATGTCTTTAACAGAATCATAGTTTAAAAAAAGCATTGTCTGTTCTGTTGTTCAGTATTCCTCATTCACAAATTCATCAAAATCCAGATAGACTTCGGTGCCCCTTTTTATTGGGAAATTGCCTTTTTTGCCTTGTTTGCCAGGGGACGTAGAGCCAAACATGTTCCTCATCAGAAGTAAATGATGCAAGCCAGGTGCTTGATACATCGATTCCCCACTTTCTTTTTTTTTTTTAAGTGCTTAGAAGAGTCCCTAGTCATATTAAATGCTCATAAATATTTGCTTAATTAATGAATATCCTTAGGAAAAGAATATTGTATCATCACTAAAAATACTAGTTTTGAAGAATAGTCAATGATATGGGAAATAGTAATGGTATAATTTCAAGTGACAACTAAGGTTGCAAAATTGTACATACACACCATGTTTCCAACTTAGTGAAATTTGGGAAAAAACTTCCCAAACTTGACCTTCGACAAGCGCAGTAAGAAGCTGGACTACATATGGTAAAGTTGATGTAAACATGTCTTCTGGGTGTCAGAAATCTAATTATTGGTCATTTTCTAAACATCTGAGGTTTAAATAAAACTGATATGCCAGTTTATTTCCAAGATGAATTTCAGATACCTTACAATGTTAAAACATATATAACACGAGCTAAGTAAAAGGTCGAATTGAAAAAAACTCGTATTTTTGGGTCTGTGTGTTTATTACACAATATTATACAATACCACAGCAATATGAAAATGGTTTTTCCTAAGTTATATTAAATGTGAGTTTTCTTTTTTTAGACTTATATTTTTCAAATATTCTATAGAGCATAATTTAATTTTTAATGAAATCTGCATATGAATAGTTTAAAATCTCAAATATTACAATGGCATATGCAAAAAATATTAATCCCTTGCCTATTCTCCCCTTTTCTTGCTCCACAAAAGCACCTGCTTTCAAATATTTTAGCTGTAGCAAAAAGAAATAGTTAATCTAAATAGCCCTCTATGTGTTAAATAATGGAGCGACAAAATAATAAGGACATAGAAACACAGTCAAATAAAAAATTAGGCATGCATTTCCACCAGGAAAGAAACAAAATAAAAAGTTTATAGAAAAGGAAGGGTAGGGGCCGGCCCTGAGGCCGAGTGGTTGAGTTCGTGCGCTTTGCTGCGGCGGCCCTGGATGTTGCTGGTCTGGATCCTAGGCACGGACATGGCACCGCTCGTCAGGCCACACTGAAGTGGCATCCCACATGGCACAACTAGAAGGACCCACAACTAAAAATACACAACTATGTACCTGGGAGCTTTGGGAGAAAAAAGGAAAAATAAAATCTTAAAACAAAAAAAAGAAAAGAAAAGGAAGGGTAGTCATCTATGGACACCGTTTACATAATAGTGTAAAATTAAATTTTGTTTAGCCAAAAAATGTGATATAACTGAAATGGGAGGACAGGGGAGAAAGGATGGTGAGTGCTATAGAAAACCAATATATAATGTCTAAAATGTAAAAGGAAAAAAAAAGGCAATAAATATTAAGAAGCAGCAGTTATTTAGAAATGTGTTAGAAAAGAAAAAGAAACAGATAAAATATTTGAAAGCAGTTTCTTTTTAAGCTGACTTACAGTTTTTGAAAGTTGTAAAAGGAACACATGCCTTTGGTTAAAAAGCAAACCAGACGGCGCCGTGACCACCAGCATTCTTGTTGACACGGATCTGCGCTTGTTTTGTTTTTACTTAGCTCATGTTCTATGTGTTTTAACATTGTAAGGTATCTGAAATTCATCTTGGAAATAAACTGGCATATCAGTTTTATTTAAATCTCAGATATTTAAAAAATGACCAATAATTAGATTCCTGACATCCAGAAGACGTGTTTACATCAACTTTACCATATGTAGTCCAGCTTCTGACTGCGCTTGCCGAAGGCCAAGTGTGGTTCTGGAAGGTGCTAAAATACATATTGGATTGTCCCTGTTGTGTTTCAAGCTTGTAACCAGTAAACTCTCCCTTCTAATCTTCTGCAATCTCATCCTAATCTCTAATTAATTTTAACATCTTCCTTCCTTCCCTCCCCAAACTAATTTGTGCTTAATCCATGTTCTGTTCTTTTCCTTACTACGTTTGTTTTAATCTTTGAAGCCCATAATGACATTTAGTGTTTCTCATTGTCACTTAGAATAAAGTCTTCACCAAGCATGTCTTCGTAGGAACATCTGACAGAATGCCTTCCTTGCTTTAGGAAACTCAGTTTCGAATGCAGTGCAAATGCGTTTAGATCTGATTCTGTCACATAGAGCCTGGAAAGAACCTCTGGAGGGCAGAGCACCTCTTTCATCTGCTGGCCTCAGCCCCTCTCCTTACTGTTTTGAGTATGTAAATTGAGGGAGATAAAGGGCTTTTTGTCAGAGTTTGGATATTTTCATTTTCAAATAATCTGAAACCGATTTCTTAAGGATTCTGTTTCAAGAAATTTAAAAAGTAGATGGGTATTTCACTCTCTATAGTTTTACCAGGTTCTGAGTTTCATTTGGGTCCGCACATGGGGAAATAGCATTTTACTTTGCAGCTTCCAGCTGAACCAAAGACCACTGTGTTGCAGATGGAAGTCGAGGTCTTGGAACGAGTTCTGGGAAGTCTGCTGGGCTGTGTGTGCCAAGGGGTTACCAGAGAGTATGGAGAAGGCAAGGCAGAGCCTAGATTGCAAGTAGGAAAATACAAACTTCTCACTGAAATCACCCATTTGTGGTGACTCCATAAGAGGAGAGATCCAGTGGATGAGAAAAGTAGACACTGTGATGCAGGTGAGTTTTTTCCCTGAGCAGGGAACTCTGGTGTGAAGTACCAGCTTCACCAGAGCCGAAGTCAGCACTGGATCCTGAAAGATTGAGCTTGTAGCTTTGGTTTAAATTTGCCTTTGACATGCACTCCCCCGCCATTATCCCGTTACATACATACGAGGTTGGATTAATGTTCCTCAGGCTCTTTTTTTTTTCTTTTTTTTTTTTAAAGATTTTATTTTTTCCTTTTTCTCCCCAAAGCCCCCGGTACATAGTTGTGTATTCTTCGTTGTGGGTTCTTCTAGTTGTGGCATGTGGGACGCTGCCTCAGCGTGGTCTGATGAGCAGTGCCATGTCCGCGCCCAGGATTCGAACCAACGAAACACTGGGCCGCCTGCAGCGGAGCGCGCGAACTTAACCACTCGGCCACGGGGCCAGCCCCATTCCTCAGGCTCTTTTGATGTGTTGCTTCCCTACTCTCAATATTCAGGAGCCACTGGATCAGATCTACTCGAGGCCTTCCAAAATTTGCCCCAGACCTTTATTTCCAACCTCATTTCCTATGACTCCCAGCTGCAACCAAACTGGTGTCCTTCTTTTTCTCAAACCTGGATGGTATAGTTCCCTCCCCACCTTCCCTCACCTTCCCCTTTATGTCTTTACTCTGCAAGTCTTGTCAGAGGACCGGGGTTCTGTCCCAGGTTAGTTAGGTGTGTGACCTAGGTCAAATTATTCTTCTTCCCTGAGCCTTCGTTTCCCCCTATACGAGAGAGAGACTGAACTAGGAAACTTCTTCATAGGTTCCTTTCAGCTTTACCGTTGTGTGGGTCAGCATCAGCCTCAGCTTTTTCCTTGGCTACCCCAGGACACAGGGCCCTTTTCTCTTTTGTGTTTCTGTAGCATTTACCATTCATTGTTTGGGATCATAGTTAACATTTTTATGTCTTGTCTTCAACTAGGTTTTGAAGATATGTTTGTAAACTGAGAAGGCCCATTGGTAGAGCTGACTTGTTTCCCTGCAATGTTGGGGGAGGGAGAGGACTACTGAGCGTGTTCCACTTTGGACTTCCACCTTGTGTCCAAAAGCTGGGAGGAGATGGCACGTGTGAAAGATTTTCCCTTATGCCCCTTGTTTGGAGAATGGGATGTTTCTTTGAGAGGGGGGCACATATTTACAATGTTGGGGCTGAAAGAACGATGCAGTCTTCCAGAGAATTCCGTCTGGTCTGCTGTGAGGCCTGTGGTTCTGTGCTGACTCTTTGGGTTGACCTTCCTCCACCATCCTTTCAGAGTGCCAGTCTCTTGGTGTTTAGGGTTGGGATGGTCACTTCATCTTTCACTGTGCATTTCAGGGCCCTGTTTGATTATGACCGGACTCGGGACAGCTGCTTGCCAAGCCAGGGGCTCAGCTTCTCCTATGGTGACATTCTGCATGTCATTAATGCCTCTGATGATGAATGGTGGCAGGCAAGACTGGTGACCCCACATGGAGAAAGCGAGCAAATTGGTGTGATCCCCAGTAAGAAGAGGTGAGTTGTCATGACCACGAGAGAGGCCTTCCTTGCCCTGTCCTTGGTCCTGGTTTCTTTTTCCCCGTTATACTCTAAGTTGCTGAGAGCAGCAGATGTGCTTTATTACTCCTTTTTGGTAGAGAGCTGGGGCTCAGGACGTGGTTATGACTCAGTGAGCCAAAAAGTGGCTGCTGTGCCTGCTGCATCCCACTGCTGAGACCACACACAGGCAGTAACAGGACCTCTTTCTGACTCCAAACAGGGTGGAAAAGAAAGAAAGAGCTCGATTGAAAACCGTGAAGTTCCATGCCAGGACAGGGATGATTGAGTCGAACAGGGTAAGTAGGGAAGGAAGTCAGCCAGTATGTGAAGAGGAGTAAGAAGCTTGGAGTCTGTCTGGTGGCTAAGCGAACTGGGAAGCACAAAAGAATATCTCTTTTTCAGGGGGCTGGCTCTGTCCTATCAGAATACTGACTGCTTTTCAGAAAGCAGGGAGAGGGCACTCAGACTCTCTGGCCAGTCTGTACTCTTCCCCGCTGGGTAACTGGCTCTTGAGATGTGTTGGAGTTGGACTGTCTGGAAGGCTGACTTGCTTGGAGCACGTGAAACCACTTGTGGGTGTCTCCCTGGCTGCAGACTCTGTCGGAGCTGAGGGACCCTGAACAGAACCTGGCCTCATCGTCCAGCGAGGAAGGCCAGCCCCAGAGCTCCGACCGCCCTTTAGACCGAATGAGGCATGAGGGCTCTCTCCCTTCACCTCTCTTCTTCTGTGAGCTTCGCAGGCCAAAGAACTTCCTAGTGGTAGAGGAAAGAGAGACATAGAGTGGATGACTCTGTGTGTATCAGTGGCACCTTAGGGCATGTGTCCGGGAGGCTACAGTGACCTTTGTCCTTTAGGAAGTACCAGTGAGTGCTGTGAGTCTGGATTAGGTAGAAACCTCTACCATCCCTACAACATTTTCCTGTAAACATAATTTTCCTCTTACATCAACTTTCATTTAATCTCATAGACTCCATTTGTGAGAGATGGTCTTTTATTTAGCTCACCATTGTCTCCATTTTAGTTTTTCTTGCATGCTTTAAAACCCATTGTTCTGTTTTTTTTTTTCTTCTGTCCTTCCCCTCCATCTTCATGTTCTTCCACAGTCGATCAAAACGAAACGTAAAAAGAGTTTCCGCCTCTCTCGAAAGTTTCCATTTTACAAGAGCAAAGAAAACATGGCCCAGGAGAGCAGCATACAGGAACGTAAGTAGCAGCAGGGTACAGAGAGCAGACCGCCCACAGTCCCGCCCTCTCGTCCTCATTTGCACCTCCCCTTATGAGAAGACTGGGAAATGGGAAAGTGTGTGTGTGCACGTGCGCACATGCGCGTGTGCACGTGTGTGTGTGAGTGTGGGTGCATACCTACCTGCTTATTTGCAGAGTCAGGGTAGAAACTGGTCTGCACAGGGAGACATTGGGTCTTTTTTGGTCCAGCTCCTCGCTCTGAAAGAATGTTGGAGGCTCTGAAGTGGAACTGGTTCCAGGGCTGGCCTACCAGGAAATCCCTGGCACTGGCAGTGAGAGTGCCAGGCTGAGCTCTGCTGTGGCGGTGATGAGTTCTCAGCCACAGTGTCAGGTTAAGAAAAATGGTTTTCAAGAGACCCAGGTCTAGGGACTCAGCGTTGCTCTCCTGGCTTCTTCCTCTTGTGTTTTCTTTCCCTTAACTTCACTCATCTATGTCAAGAGAAGAGCCTTTTTTCCCTGGGCACCTGGAGTCGGGCCTGCTTCTTGAATTACACGCATATGCATATGCACCCAAGATGTCTACACAGCTTTAGCAGACTCGCTGTCATCCCAGAGTGATTACAGAGCTAGCTTTCAAAATGAAATCCTTACTGCTTAAAGGAATTGACACAGAAGGGACATTATTCAACTCTGTCCAAATAAAGATTTGTTGAGAAACACAAAGCTGGTTTGGTAGAAAAGGCCATAAAGCTGAGCTAAGTGAACTTTTAAGAACCAGTTTAATCCTAAGAAATATTCTCATTCTACCATATGCCTTAGAACTTAACTGTTCTGACCCTAACCTTAAATACCAGGTCAGGCTGGTGAACTATATGTCATGTGGCTCATGGTGAATTGAAACCTCTCCTCTTCTGCCTCACAAGGAGGACTCTTGGGGTCTTGAGCTGTTGGGGCTGGTAGGAGACTGACTAGTTCTGATAAGAAATGTCCTTTTTCTAGGCCAGCCTGATGCATGGTCATGGTATGCATAGGTCATTGATGTCTGGGGTGGTAGCTAATACGTCCCAGAGTGCCCTCATCCAGATGGAGGTTATGACTCACAGTCCTGGGTAGCTCAGTAAGAAGCACTAGGTGTAGTTGGTTCTGCTCATGAGCAGTAGGAGATGGTCTGAGACAGAGGCCTGGGTGAGGTCATCACAGTTTACCAGATGAGTCCCAGGACCTCTGCGCCGAGCCCAGCCTGGGGAGGGTTCACTGGTGGGTGGCCCAGCTGAGGCGGGGGGTTGTCCATTAGATAAGAGTTGAAACTGCCTACTGCTTATTCTCCAGAAGCTGAGCTTATCCCCTGTGGTCTACATAATTCAGGTCAGCTTTGAAGGCCATACCTCAGACTGAATGAAGCCTTCCCTGAAGGGTTTGGATAGTGTGAGTCAGTACAGGGTGACAGCTCCGTGGGATGGTAATTCTGCCTGCCTGCCACACGTAGATGTTTGCTCTTTCATGCAGCCTCAGATAGAAATGGTGATTTCAGGGCAAAGCAGAGACCTGGGCTATACAACTACATACTTAGTCAAAGCAGGTGCTCCAAGCCTTGGAAAGTTACCTGTCCTGTCCTGTCAGCCTGTAGGCTGTAGGCCACCTCAGAAAGGTAGTCCACTCCGAGGCCCTCTGGCACCAAATTGGGCAGCATGACGTCCAGGTGTCTTATTTGACCTGAGACGTTTTTTCTGTAGCACAGTTCTTAACCTCACTGTAGTCAGATGTCTTCGTAGTATTTCATACTTCTGTCACTAATGCTCACCTGGCTCTGTATTCTTCCTTCCCCTGTCTTTTTTCTCTACTTTCTCTCTTATCCCCAATTCTTTCCCTCCCTCCCTCTTTGTCCTTGCTGTCTGTGAAATCAGGACTTCCCTGGGTTAAGTGACGATTATTATGGAGCAAAGAACCTGAGTAAGTCAAACTTACACACCATTAACTGTATTTATGGCATGAGTGGAGATGCTGGGGTTGGGGGTGTAGGGGATGTGGGTGAGGGCAAAGGGTGAGGGGAGGGCAGTGTTTGTGATGATACTACAGCAGGAGGAAGTACAAGTGTCTCTGAGTGTCACACTTTTGCTCTGGATCCCTGGTACCCTAATAAAAGCCTATCATTCATGTCTGTGTTTTCCTTTTGTACCTTGAAGTGGTGGGGAGCCATGTTGGCATCCCACCTTAGAAGGGAGGTGGGCAAGGGATACTTCTCCAGGAATGACCACTCACCTCATCTCTAGCCTGTTGTTGAGGTGAGGGGTGCCTGCTGGTTGGATTCCTCTCCCAGTGACACAGTACTAAAGAACTGGGCTTAAGAATGAACTGTTTCAGTCTCTCTAACTAGGGGCAAGAGTCCTGTGAAGTCCTTTACCAAACATGCATCTGGGATGTCCCAGCAGGTCTGGGGCCTCAGCAAACAGCCGAGGGCCAGCTTTCCATACAGCATCTCCAAGGGGCTGAGCTGGTGGGGGCCTCAGCAGGATTTATGGACCATATATATCTAGTACTTTAGCTCAGGAAAACTCTGACTGACCTCTCCTCTCTGGAAAATAATCCTAGAGTGGAAAACGAAGGGACCTAGATGACAGGGCCTTAGCGTCCCTGCTGTGCACAGAGGTGCACACACAGGCAGCTGGCTGTGCTGGGTGAGGTCTGTCAGCATACACTCTCCTTCAATAAGTAATAAAGGCGTGAAGGTAAAGGATCTTCCTCAGGGGATTGCTTAGGACCTAGCCATGGGTGGCGACTCAGCCAGTCCTTCCAGGGGGCCACAGCATATCATGGTCTGGAACAGTGTCATCTTGGCTGAAATGAGCAGTGTCTCTTTCCATAATTTGTTGTGTCCATGTTTCATCTTCATTTGGCTGTCGTCTTGGGAGTGGTGGGCTTTGTTTGGGCCAAACTGTGCCTTGTGCCTCCTGTGAGTGTGGCTGCTCTGCCCACACTTAGATGGGGGCAGGTCCCAATGGTCTGAGACAGGAGGGCTGTCTTGTCCTCCAAGTGTTCTTTGTTTGTTGTCTCTGTGTTTTGACATGTCTGTCTTCTGGTGGATGGAAGAGCACCCCCCCCCCCCCAACTACCACCACTGAGGCCAGGCCCTCCTTCTAGATAGTGGTGGCAGGAGGGCTGTTGGTCCCACCGAATGGTCAAAACATCGTTCCTTGGTGACTGCTCAACCTGCCCAGTGCTTAGCCTCTTGGTTCTGGAGCACCACACAAGTCTGTACTCTGGAGACTCTATCTGGGGAGGAAATTCAAGAGCAGCCTGGTCCCTGGCCTTCTCTTTGCTACTGTCATTGCCTTTCCTTTCCTATTGTGAGCCTTGGAGATGCATTTTGAGATAGGATTTGGAAACCACCCAAGTCAGTTCTTTTGGTTCAGATGAAGAGGATGCTGCCAAAGAATGGAAGGCTTGTAGTGTATAGGGAGGGACTTGGCAGACCAACAGGGCTCTGGGAACAAGTACGAGGTGGCCAGGGGCTCAGGATTGGAGCTGTGCCTCCCAGTTAGTAGCCTGGATGTGGCAGACCTCCTGTGGCCTGACTTGGTTGGCAGCTCAGTGTCTCGCTCCTGGAGCATTTGAGTTTTGTGCTGCGTGTGACCTCTCAGTGGTGTGTTCTGAATCAGAGTCTCTTTCTTGTTGGCTTGCAGAGGGAGTGACATCCAACACCAGTGACAGCGAAAGCAGTTCCAGTAAGTGTATGTCATTCTCCCCCATGTCATGTAGCTTCACTGTGTGTCCCAGCCATCCTCATTCCAGCATTACACAGCTGCCATTTCTGTTCAGAGGCTAGTGCTTCTTTTAGCCATGTACACTTTGAGATCCTGGAAATGCTGTGGCCATTTTTTGCTTATGGGATGGGGTTTAGGCCATGGATTACAGGAGAGTATAAGTCCTGCAGTTCTGGCCAGGCCCTGACTTAAAAGCATCCCTGGGGCCCTGGGAAGGGTGAGCTGCCAATGAGTACATTTCTGCCATGGGCATTATGTGCCATAGGTGCTTCCAGTTTGACAGATTTGCTCAGAGATCAAAAGAAAGATGGCTCCTGTGGATATTGTCCTGAATTGCCCTTCCAGGTCACTAGGACCTCCTGGTTTAAGGCTTGGTGTCCTTGCCTTTTAGCTGGATTAAATGATCAGGTAACTGCTGTGTTTTCCTTCAGAGATCCTATCGCTGGCTCAGAGAAGCCACACTTCAAACTCCCTGAACTTTGGGAGCACTGGCCTCTCAGGAGTTGTGGCTGGAGGCCTTGTAAAACCTGCCCAGGAGTCTTAGGCTCAGAGGAGGTCTGCGAGCAGGCATCCTGGGGCTTGATGCAAATATTGCTGCCTTCCCTGGCACTTCTGCCAGCCACTCTGGGACCTCCAGGCACCAAGCACCAAGTGGCTTGGCAACTGTTTTAGGAAAAGGTCATCATTGCCAGGATATATGGAACTCTACCCTGAGGAGAAAGCAGGGCTCAGCATTGCTCTTAAAGGGCACTAGGGATCTTAGCCCAGCCTTGTGCCACTTTTCTGGGTGCTTCTTCCAGTGAAGGGGGAATAGGTAGACCCTTAAAAGGGCGAAGTTGGGCTGCAGCTTTGGGGACCTGCATGAGTGCCCTGACTCCCCTGCCTGCAGACAAGGGGCCATGGCAGTGTGTCTCTACCAGTTAAAGCTTCCCTGTGATTCTTAAACAGAGCAAGAGAGCAACTAAGCACAGTTGACCGTTACCTACAAGAGCAAGTCCTGAGAAATTGAGATGGTTTTTGGTGGAGGCTTCACAGCTTCTGGGTCATGTCTCTTTGCTCAGCTATATTTTGCTGAACGAGAGGACTCCTGACTCCTGTCTCAGGGACGGCAAAGGACTTCCTGTGCTTTCTTGTCAGTGGGAAGCAGACGGGCCCACAGGGCAAGTGTTAGGAAGCACCACTGACAAGGCTGTTTTCTGGCAGAGGTGGGGGTGAGGTGAATGTTCTAGGGAGATGAGGACATAGGCAGGCAGATTATAAACTGCTAACATGTCTTCCTTTTTTGTTGCAGAAGGACAAGAGGATGCTATTTTGTCATATGAGCCAGTGACACGGCAAGAAAGTAAGCCCCTTTCTGAGTCTTGCCTTCAGGCTAGCCTCGTGATCATGGGGCCTCCTTCTCTTCTGCTGCTTCCTAGTGTTTTAGAGAAGGGGAGGCCACCCTGTGTGCACGCCTCACCACACCTTTACTTGCTTCTGGGATGCCTTCCAAAGGATAGGACAGATTTACAAGGATGGCAAAGGTCGATTTCAGTGGGTGTGGCCGCTACTAAAAGAGAGGTCCTGGTCCCTCCCTTCGGTGGCTGCTCTGAAAAAACCTTGCTCAGCTGTTGGTGCCCTTGCAGAGATGTCTCCTGAATCTGTTGGAAGGAGAGACGCTTCTGACTTCAGTCTTGCCTTGGACTTAGATGTTCTCAAATTAAAGGCTCTTTGATGTCTTTGTAGTTAGGAGCCCGAGAATGGCCGCAGACGCTCGGCCTTGTCTGAGTGGCAGCTCCAGAGCCTTGGTGTTCTAGGCAGACTTGGAGGTAGAACAGGCCGTTCAGTGGGGGGCCTCACTCACTATCTCTCTGCTCTCTCTCCAGTTCACTATGCAAGGCCTGTGATCATCCTGGGCCCAATGAAGGACAGAGTCAACGATGACCTGATCTCAGAGTTCCCACATAAGTTTGGATCCTGTGTGCCACGTAAGAGCCCAGGAAAGCTTTGGGAGTGAAGTGTTTCTGCCCTGGGAATTGTTGCTCTGATGTTTTATGGAAAGGATCTGGGGCCAGATTCTAGGCTTCTGTGGGAACAGGGTACATCTCACACCCTGGAAGAGATTAGGCAGCAAGAGATTACCCCCAAGCTGATGGGGTTGGGAGGACTAAGACATCAGGCTGGCCTGCTTGCTCCCTTGGAGAGAAGTTTGAGTGGTGATGGTCGGGAATGACTGGATGAATAGCGGGGCCCAGCCCAAGTGGTGTTGGCATGCCCACTGGACGGCATCCTCTGCCAGGTTTGCTGGCTCCTCTGCCACGTTTGGCAGCCTCTGCCAGGCCTTGGCCCAGGAACCTCCACCTTTCTGGTCCAGTTTAAGCTAAAGCAAATAGCCTTCTGTGTGTGAGACCTGGCAGTTAGAAGAGAAGTAGGCAAGACAAACTTCTTCCCAGCTACTTTTTTCCCCACTCATCTGAAAAATATTGGAATGGCCCTGGGACCCAGGTGAGAGAGGAGCAAGTCAGCTCTTTTGACCTGGGGCAGGTCATTGTCCTGGAGCCACAGAGCATTTCCTTTCTTCTTTCAGATACTACCCGGCCTCGACGTGATAATGAGGTGGATGGACAAGACTACCACTTTGTGGTGTCCCGAGAACAAATGGAGAAGGACATTCAGGACAACAAGTTCATCGAGGCTGGCCAGTTCAACGACAATCTCTATGGGACCAGCATCCAGTCAGTGCGAGCAGTGGCTGAGAGGGTAAGGAGAGAGGAGATGGCCCTGCTAGATGACCCTCACAGGGAACACAGAAATGCTCCTGCCGAAGTTCCGCTTGGATCCTCATCCTTCTAGCATGGGGCCTACAAATGGCACTGCTGACCAAGCTGTGCCCACTCTGCATGTTTCCAGCCCCTGGATGGAGGTGTCTGTCACCCCAGAGCATCACCCACCTGAATAGGGACCCCTCTGGAGACGTGGCTTCTTCTGGGTAGTAGGAGCAAAATGTGGAGCCTGGGTCCCTCAGGGGTAGAATCTTCTAGGCCTCTCGGGGTGGCCCTGGGTCCCCCCTAGGTGGATGTTTGGCTTGCCACTGGGTGTGCTTGGGGCTAGGTAGCAGGGACTGCGTGGGCTGATGCAAGTCTTTGCTTTTTCAGGGCAAGCACTGCATCTTAGATGTTTCTGGCAACGCTATCAAGAGGCTGCAGCAAGCACAACTGTACCCCATTGCCATTTTCATCAAGCCCAAGTCCATTGAAGCACTTATGTAAGTATTTTCTGGGACTCAGACACCCCCAGCTAGGAGATGGCCCTGGAAAAGAAATAAAAAATAAAGTCATTTGTTGGGTAGGGTTGAGACTCAATGGAAGCTCAAAGGAAAGTCTGCAGCCCAGCTCTGGGCACCAAGGGCTCCTCCTGATTTGAGTGCCCATGTGTGTATTCCCAGTTGGGCTTTTACACCTGGAAGGTTTGAGAAAGACGTTGAGCCATGGGCCACTGGTGCTCTCAGAGGGCAGCTGAGAGGATTTTCAGGGAGCCTGGAATAATCCTTTGTTAATCAAAACATAGAAGCTAGCTTGGTACTATTTTTCTTCTGTGTCTTTGGCAGGGAAATGAACCGACGGCAGACATACGAACAAGCAAATAAGATCTATGACAAAGCCATGAAACTGGAGCAGGAGTTTGGAGAGTATTTCACAGGTAAGACTCCCTGCTGCCCGGCCAAGGGTGATGGGGGCCCACCAGACACCTAGTCTGTCAGCGTCTCCGGGAGCCTTAGACACCTTGCACTGAGCTTCTGGATGCTCTTGAGCTCAAGCCTTTCCAAAGTGCTCAAGTTCCCTCCAGCCAGAGCAGTTTAGCCAGTTTATAGTATCAACCACCGTCACCAAACGCTGCCTTAGATCGTTATGTTCGTTTTGTCTTCATGTCCCTATTGGACTGTAGGCTCCCTCGATGACTTTGTTCCCCCCCCCCAACTCCGCCCGCAGGCCAGTACTTGACCTTGCATGTTTTAGGTGCTGAATAAACGTTTGTTGATGATGATGGTTCCTTAGTGTGGTGTTCAGGTTGTCTGTCAGCATGTGTGTGCGTGTGTGTGCACGTGTGTGTGTGTCATTTATATGGTCACCTACTTTAGAATGTCAGTTCCTGGAAGGTTGGGACGGTTTCTATGTAATATGTTGCTTACCTTTCAAAGTCCAGTGACATATATGTGTAGATCGATGCTGAGTTAGGTGCTACTAGGTTAACGGGAAAGGATTCATAACTGTACCTCGCACCTTGGGTTTTGGAGCTCCCTTTACGATTAGCATCCCTGTCCTCGTTTGCTGGGCTGACCTCTGACATAGAACACATATGACGGCCCCAGGAGCACTGCCTCTTGCCAGAAATTATGACTTTCAGCTCTTTCTCTGGATAAGCAGGATTTTCCAAATCTTCCAGTAAGGCTGCTTTAGAGTTACCAGCTGCTGGCCTCATGGCGGCCAAGAGCGACATGAGCTGCAAGGTCTGGCATCTGATGGGTGCTTAATAAACATTTTTTGAACAACACATTTTCCTATCCATTGCTGCTTAGTCTCACTATCTCAGCAAATCGACTTCAAGCCCTGGGCTTGAACTGGAGTGCCTGCCAGTTTCCCTTGCTGCCCTAGGCTCACAGACAGCCGACTAGGGAAAGCTAACCCTCCCTGCGGGCATCTTGCGCCGGGATGAGCTGTAGGATTGTTGGGACAGGCCGGATTGCCGGGGTGTGGGGGGTGCTGTGGACCACAGTAATAATTCTGTTTTCCTCTTCACTTTAGCCATTGTACAGGGTGACTCACTGGAAGAGATTTATAACAAAATCAAACAAATCATTGAGGACCAGTCTGGGCACTACATTTGGGTCCCATCCCCTGAAAAACTCTGAAGAATCCCCTCCAACCATTCTCTTGTGAACAGAAGAAATCAAGTCCCTCTTCCCTCCTCCCTCTTCATTCCTGTCCCCATGGGGAGAACAAATGACTACTGTTCTTGTCCCCTTTTTTAGCTATGTCAAAAAAAATTGAGTTTTCTAGTCCTGTTCTGTTTTTTTAAATTTTTGTTTCGTTTTAGTTTATTTTTGGGATGATGCCATCTCACTCATCATGTGACTGTGCCCATTCCTGCATGGACCTTTCCCAAGCGCTAGCACAGGTGCAAATCCATCAGAGTCATTGTTTTCATAAAAACCAAGCAGACGCGAAGAGAAGAGAGGAGGACTGATGGAAAGACAGACTCTGGACAGCTGCACGGCTTGTGAAGTGAGCTCAATGCACCACGTGATGAGATGCTCCTGGGCATTTCTACCTATCTGTACTGCAGTCATGCAGCTCTGAACGGTGCAACGTAATGGCAACAGAAAGTATCTTATTTATATATAGATATATATATGTAATTTATATAAAATATATAGAAATTATTATATATATATATTATACACTCTCATATAATATATATATATTCACACACATTTGGACTAGAAAATCTATGGAGACTTCATCAATGGTACTGTGTTATTAGAGAAATGCTTTAATTTTCATATTCCAATCAGATGGCATCTTCTATCCCAACTGGTTGAGGAGGAATTGGAAATGGTAGTAAGTGCTGTACCACGGGCACTCGCATTTGGTCATTCTCTTGAGAGCTGGGGGATCTCTAGGAGGGGGTCAGCCAGCGGCCTGCGAGAAAGGGCTTTTGCCTGGGGATGAGAAGGTTCGAGACTTGACCCTAAAGCAGCTGCTGCCCTGGAGGTGCAGTCAGTCCTGTGCGGAAAGAGAGAGAATGGCTAATGATGCTCCATATTAAATTGCCTATTGTTTTATGCCACCTGATGTGTCTGCATGAGAGGTTTCCTTTTTGTTCATTTTTAAGCTGTTGTTAAACCAAAACCATGTTGTGCTACTGTGTCAGCCTTTTCATTATTCCAAGTTTTGCTTTTACTATTTAAGTGAATGCGTAGAATCCAATTGGACAGTGTTCTGAAGGCTTGTGACGTTCTGGAGGAGCCGGGCCTGGTGCTAGAGTAGGTGCCCAGGCTCGGCCGTCCAGTCAGCGGAAGGGGCAATGGGGCTGGTGAGAGCCGTGAGCAGGAGCTGGGGCTCTGCATTGCAGTGTCCCTTTACTCACCTGCCAGGGACATGCTGGGCGGAGCTGAGGCCCTTCGTGGGGCCCACCGACAGGGACAGGGAGTCACTTGCCTTCCAGTTCTGTGCTAGGCGGTGGGACAGCACTGGGCTTGGCCAGCCACGTAATGAGAAGTTTGATTTGGGTTTTTTTTGCTGCCGCTTCATCTGCCCTACCCCAGCCCCTCACCAACAGCTGGGAGCTTACTGTTTCTTCAAGGAAAAAGTAGACTTTAATGCTGTCAATTTGAGCTGTAGAGTGAAGATTCACTTACTGGAGAGATGTGAAACCTTGTTGCTTTTTCCCAGAGTCAGATGGCAGTAATTGTGGTCAAGGGAGTTTTTCTCTGACCACAGATGCAGGCGGCAGGGATGGCTCGGGCCCCACCCCACCTCACCCCACCCCACCGTGCTCCTTTGAAGCCACTCTGCCTCCCTCGCCTCCATGCTGGAGCCATGACCCAGGGGAGGAGAGCAGGCATGTGCTTGGCCCTAAGGTTGAGTCAGTAGTTTCCTAGCCCCCGCGTTACGACCAGTGCCAACGATGCCACGTTGAAGATGCTTTGAGCCCTACCAGCCAAATTTAGGAACGTGTTACCAGTTCTCCGACCAGTATGAGGCTGACTGTCAAGCGTGGGGCCCAGATGGAGGGTAAAGAAAGGGCAGCAGCTTTCCATGGGCCGCACGCTGGGGGAAGGCAAGGAGGGGCAAAGTGATGGCCGACTGTGACTCTGGCGAGGAGGGGCGAGCAGGGAGTGCTGATTTCTCTGATGTTAGTAAGTGACGTGGTCCGAACGCTGCTCAACCCCCTCCCCCTCCCAGGGAAGAAAAGCAAAGACTCAAAGTAAGCATGACACTAGTTGGTTTACCAGTGTTCCTTCCAAGGAGACATATATTTTTTAATAAATGATAGTTGCAATGAACTGTGGCTCAGAGACCTTCTTGAAGTAGTTGAGAAGGGAGGGTGGGGGCACAGCACTGGGAAAAATGTTGCAAACCTTTGTTTGGGGGCCAAAAGGCTCTCTACTGAGTGACCGTCAGCTGACCGAGTCAGGCATTCCTCTGGATGGTTCTAGACCCCTGTGGTCCTAACAGGTCCTTTGTGAAAGTTAGATGCTCAGTCTTCCAGCCCAGCCGCCAAACACTTCCTCAGATAGCACCGACCAGGTCGGGGCGGTAGGGGATGGCCACATCCTTGGTGGCGAAATGCTGGCATTCTTCCAGAAGGGAGCTGCCTGCTGCAGCAAAGACGTTTGTTAGAGAAAGCAGGGGCCAGTTTAGCAGCAGAGACAGTAATAAATGTGGTGAGAGAAAGCTGGCTACCGGTGGTTCCAGAAAGCATTGAGAGCTCAGGGGAAAATGAGGATGAGATGGGCCCAGAGCAGGCCCCAGTTTGCAGAGCAGGGTGGCGGTCATCCCTGCCGCCCTCTGGAGAGGAGGATTGCGTAGAGCAGGTACTTAGAGGACATGGCTGATGCCACTGCAACTTGTGTGGAGAAGCGTGGGGAAGAACGGCTGGAATTAAGGTCAAGAGCGATGACTGAATGAATGAGCAACCCTGATGTGTGTGGGCTGAACCACAGAAAGGAGGAGAATCCTTGCCTGTGGTGCTTTACAGTTTGCAGGGTGCTTCCTTTCACACGTTCTCTCATTTGCTAGAAGGCACCCCGACGAAAGGGAGTCTACAGAGTGCTCCGGGGCGGGGGACGGTTTAAGGACATCCAGCTCCTAAGTGCAAAGGGAACAGAGAGCTGGCCTGTGACCACACTGTGTTAGACTCTGTCTTCACAGCTGCTGTCCCTTCTCGAGGAGGCACAGCTGAAGAAAATTCGGCCCCAGCGGGAAGATACTGAGCAACTTGGAATCAACGAAGGTAGACATCCCCTGACCCTAAGCTCTGCTGTGACCCGCTCGCTAGAGCGCATCTCCTCAAGGAGCCACTGCTGGGGTCTCTCCCTAGTTCTGCTGCTGACAACACAGTTAATCACGCCTTGGTTTCTCCATCTCTAACAGACCTAAAAACATTCGTAGGATGATACTTATGACCACATAAAATATTCGTTCAGATACAAATGACCAACTTTATCATATAGTGAAAGCGCTTCTAGAAATTAATGAAAGTAAAATCTTTGCCCAAAACAAGTGTGGAAGTTGTGCTCAAGCATGAAGCTAATATGGATGCAGAAGAAAGTGGGAGTTGAGCTGCAGGCCTGCGAAGAGACTAGAGGGGAAGTATCCTGAGCGAGTCAAGGTCAAGCAAAAAAGGCTGGGACTGAAAAGGGACCCTGGGGTCGAGCAGAAAGGTCAGTACTAAAGGACAGTGGAGCTCTTTCCACAGAGGCAGTGCTTGCTTGGTGCCAACCACTGGATGCCCAAGATGTGAGAAAACCTTGTAGAAATGGGATGAGTGGGTGCTCAGAGAGCCAGTAGCTTTCTCCAGGTAAGCCAGCAAGTGAGCGCCCAGGTAGAAGCGCGCCTGGGTGCCTGGCAGTCTCTCCCCGCGCCTTGGCAGGAGTCATTCGGTCTCGGCGTCCCCAGGTTCCTTCCTTCATTGCTCTGCCCACCTGGGATTTCATGGCCTTGATTCTATTAATCCTTTTATCCATTCGGTCCGTTCCTTGGCACCTCTAGGACATTTTATTATCACTGCAAATAACTTCTTGAAGCTCAAATTCCTATTTCCTCAAAAGCCTCTCTCTTCCCCCCTCACTTGCAAGAAATAGCAGAACTGGCTCCTGCACACCTCGTCCCTCCCTCAGCGAACAGGGTCTCGATACCATGTGCTTTGCCAGAGAATAGACGAGCTGCCTCAGCAGTGAAGCCCCAGCTGGATTTTATCTGCAGAGCTGTGCCCGTTGGCGCCATCGGATACCCGCTGGTGGTTTTCACGTTAGACTGAATGAACCACCTGCTTGTCCTGTCCCTCTTCTGCCACCGGCACTCTAGTCAGAAGTATCGGGCACACTTTGAAGGACCAGAAAGCGGGCAGTTTGAGAAGAGGGGTTCAGCCCTGCCTGCTCGCAGTGAAAAGCTCATGCAAAAGGATATTCTCCTGATTGTCCTTGCTGTCCCCACAATCATCCTCCACTTAGCTGAGAGAATTAGCCATGGAAAGTGCTCTCCCGCTTCCATGGGGCCCTGGTACCCACAGGGAAAAGTCTGAGCCCCTTAGCGTGGCCCTTCTGCCGTCAGGCCTTGGCCTTTTTCTCCTGCCTCATCTTTTGCTGTGTCTCCATCTGCTCCAGCCACAAGTTCCCTGAATGCACCACAACCCTGTGCCTTTGCTCCTGCTGCTTTTTCTGCCAGAAGTGCCCTCGTTGCCACCCCATCTTGCTTACCTGAATGACTCCTCTTAATATTTTAAGACTCAATTCAAGAATTCCTCTCCTATGTTGCCTTTCCTGAAGCAACCTCCCACCCCATAGGAATTTTCTTCCCTCCCACCCCATAGGAACTGACCATTCCTTCTTTTGTGTTCCATTAGACCCTATAAAAACTCTTGTCATCATTGTAACAGCTAACATTTATTTCATGCTTACTATGTGACAGGCACTGTACTAAGTGCTTTATGCATTTTAATTCACTTATTGCCAAAAACAACCCTGTGCGATAGATGTTCTTATTGTCTTCATCTTCCAGATTAAGGAAACTGAGGCACAAGGAGGCCACACAGCTAGTAAGCGGCAGAGCTATGAGTCACACCCAGACTGTGGCTGCAGTCGTTGTGCTCTTAAGTGCTGCACTGTGATGCCTCTCACTTTGCTACACTTGGAATATTTTCCTGCCCTTATCTTCTTTTACATCCGTCTTCCTCTCGACTCCTCTTTGAGAGCGGAGACTATCTTATTCATCTGCATAGCCCAGCATTTAGCACAGGGTCCCACACAGTAGGTGCTCAGTAAAAGAGGAGATGTGCCAGTCTGGCTCAGCGTTGGAGGTAAGAGATTTGACTAGGCCCAGACCTGTGGTGAATATGAGTTTTGTGTTTTGTTTTGTGGAGAGCTTCCATTCTGGAGTCCCTGCATCTTCCCCTGGGATCTTACTCCATCAGTTATGACTCCTTTTCATCTCCAGCCGCTGCTTCTCCTTTAGCTCCTTCCCTTCTTTTCACTTTGCTGTCTTCTCACCAACAACTGAACAGTCTTCCTGCTCTGCTCCCACTTACTCACCATCCATTTGTTCATTCAACACAAGTTTCCCAAGTGCTCTCAAGGTCAGCCCTGGTCTCCAAGCATGACATTCCGAGACCCCCTTCCCAGCCTTAATGTCATAGAAAGACGGAAATGCCGTGTCCCTGTTCTCACCGATTTCATTTCTCTCTGTACCACTTCGGCTTTTCCTTGACTCTTTCACTCACTCTTCTCTCACCTCCTAGTGCCACCATTTTCCTCATCACATAGGTCACAAAGCTGATTTCTCTCCTTTGGTCTTCATATCCAATCTCCTACCAAAACTTGTTGATTCTTTACAATGTCTGTTCAATTTAGTCCTTTGTTTGCGTTATCACTGCCCCTGCACTACTAATAACAAGAGCTGGGCTTGGTGAGCACTTAGTGATAGGCGTGGGGCTTGGTGCTGGAAATAGAGAGGCAAACCAAAGAAGACCGTCTCTGCTCTCAAGAACCTCATAGTCCAGTGGGGGAGGGCAACAAAGAAGTAAATGACGGAGTATATAGTTGCACAGTATGCCAAACACTGTGAAGGAAATAAATAGGATACGGTGATAGATGATAATATAGGGAGGGGACCTGCTGTGAGTAGGTGCCTAAGGAAGGCTTCTCTGAGAAGATGACATTCAGGTTGAGACCTGTAAGATTAGTAGGATCAGCGTGGTGGAGGAGGAGTGTGGGATGTGGGGGAGGGAAGTATTTAACACCTTCCCCTGGTCCCCATCTGCGTTTCCAGCGTTATCTCCTGATGTTTCTCTACAAACCAATCTAGACTACTTGCCTTTTTTACCTGTGGGCAAGGCCTCTGTCTAGAATGTTTCCAGTCCCCATCTCTATGAAACCATTCAAGCTGCAGCTCAAGTGTCATTTTCCATGATGAGGTCACCGGTCACTCCAGAAGAGCTTCCCCATTCCCTTCTTTTGCAGCAGTCTAGCAGTTTATACTGAACTTACTCTGCTCTTCCTTGCATGGTACCTATTTGTCCATAATGTACTTCTCCAACTAGACAAAAAGCTTCTAGAAGGCTGAGACTGCACCCAAGTTATCTTTGTATCCCTCATAGCAGCCAATACATGCCAGACGCTCAATAAATGATTGTTGAATGACCTGTCCCTTTCTGGACCTCACTGTCTTGATCTTAAAACGTGAGCAAGTTGCACAGAGGATCTCTAAGGCCTCTCCTAATGATGCTGATAAAATAGAATTCTGAAGGACATGTACTATGCTGAATCCCACTCAAAGAGACAGTTTGTGCCTTTTGCAAATTTTCAGTTCAAAGGAACAAATGAACAGTGATGTAGGTGACATAGAAGGCTTAAATACAGCTGCCAAAGAACATGGCACATGAGCACATTAGGTTTATACACAATTAAACACTACACGCAGTCAGAGGCTAGGAGCCTGCTGTGGGGGAGCAAAGGATCCATAGGAGATGCGTGGACTAGGACGGGGCAAACTTCCTTTTCCCAGTTGGGCAGAGGGGTAGAGTTCCAGGACAGCTTAAAAAAATAGAAAATGTTGTGATAGAAGAGGGTGCCGATTCTGATTTCTTACAGTTGGACAAAGAAATGGTGCTAGGGAAATACGGGCATGAATGTGCCAAACATACCACTAGATGCCCTCAAAGGAGAGTTCAGGTGCCCCCTGGTGGCAAGTAGGGGTTCCTGGTGGTAGTTCCCGAGGAGCGCTATTTGAGACAGTGTGAGGGTGGTGTCGGGGGAGGGCGGCGGAGGGTGGGGGCTCATGGAAGAGC